TTAGCACCAGAAAGCCGGAAGGAATTGAACATGATACTTATATAAGCATCTAAAAAGGAAGAAAAATATTTAATAAAATTTTCAAAGCTTTTGAAAATTAAATTTTTTTAATTCGGATATTCTGGCATAGTCTTTTTTATCACGTTTTTATTTTTTATTTAAAAATGTAAAATAGCCAGAAGCACAAATTAAAATTCTCAAATTGCAAATAAAATCCGTAGAGGTTGAGTTATGAGGTCATTATACAATTTAAAGCAAATTTGAGCAATCTTCGTCATTATGTATACATTATAGCTTTATGCATATTGCTTAGCTTCAGACTTAAAACTATGAAAAACAAAACGTATTTTTAGTAAATGTTTAATGAACCCTAATTGTTGCATTAAGATTTTTAGTTTTGAAATACGTGGTGCATTAAAAATAATCCGACAAAAGTAATTTGAGTTGCTTAATGAAACTAATTTTCCATATTTTACTGCGTTTAATTGGTGTTATTTAACAATATGTGTTTGTACCTACTCAAGATATCATTGTGTACTAGTAATTTGAGGACTGAAATACGCGTAAGTAAAATAACAAAAGGAAATATGCGTTGAATATAAATATAATTTAGAATAAAGGACTAATGCCTTTTAAATTAAATCACTTTTAGACAAAAATATATTTATAAAACTGCATCAAACTCCCGCCCCGCCGAAATGTTAGGTATGACCACTATTTTAGCTTATTTTAAGAACGAAGAATTTATACAAATAACAAAACAAATACAAGAATTTATTGTATTTATGCGAATATTACACATTAAAGTTTGAATTCTCCACGCTACGACTATTAGAGACAATACTTTGTAAAGTGTTCGTGTTGGGAATTAAAACTAAAATTAAACGTGGTGAAAAACAATTAATATTTATATTGATCATTGTAATACCAAGAACATTAGTGCAGGCGCCAAGAATTGCATTCATGATGGGAGAAACCAGAATCTAAATTACCCATCTAGACTAGTTAATTTCTTACAATCAACTTTTACTGCAGTAAAAAACTGTGTAAAAATTTCAAAATTAAAAAGAAATCCGTCAAACCGTTTAGCTGTAATAAAATAATACCGCACCCGTTAATTAACACAAAAATTAAGTTTTTTTAAAAAAAGAAGCTATAAATTTTTTACGACTTCTGAAAGCGGTCCAGCGGTCAAGGCAATTATTTTTTTTAGCCAAAAAAAGGACAAAACATAAGCTGACCGAGACATTATACTTATTACGATTGTTCAATTCAAGCACGTCAATTTTGTTCTTACGCAGAAATGCAGTTCCCACTAATTTGACATGCGTGTCCACGACGATAAATAAAGGCGCGCAGGTTAAAATAAAGGTCGTAACTTGAACTTATACCTTGTATGTACTAAAGTAAACTTTATTATCAAGTTATGATTGCATGCTGCTAACATGAATGTGATTTGCAACGTCTTTATTTTATAAAAATACATGATGATTCTGTTTTTTCTTTTTTAAATTATTTCATGTCATCAATAACAACCCTTTCGTGTTTTGTTATCAATTGCTTATTATTTTGATATACCTTATTGTTTTTATATAAAATTGTTCTTGAATGACACGGTAATGTAAACATTCCCAGCAAAAACAGTATTAATTATTCACAGCTCGCTTTCTTAAGTTAGAAAGGCGTTGCCTTTTTTCTACTCCACAATTTATTACATTCTCAAACAAAACATTGTTTCTCAAATGTCATATAATTTCACCACACAATATTTTGTATTTATAATTGTCGAAAAATATGTCACAGATGGAAAAAGATATCTTGTAGCTGTAACGAACAACTTATTAATATTTACGTAATGGACAATTTAAAAGATGAACTTAATCGTCGAACAAAATAACGTTCTATGTAAAGAAAACCGTGGCTAATTTTAAAGTGTAACCGCCCGCAAATGCAGTACAAAAGCAAAAAAAAAAGATTATCAGACGCTCGCTATTCGTACTCGGCGGTGTTGAATAAGTACAAATGTCTATGCACGTGAGATAATGCGCACAAATCCGATTAAAGTCGCCACTCAAAGGTGGAGACGTCTATTTACCCGTTCGCGTTTCAAAAGATATGTACATTATTTGTTTTGCTTACATGATCGCTAAGGCGCTTAATGGTACCGTGACCCGGAATTGTAGGTATAATGGGGCAGGATAATAAAAGCTCGCAGACCAGTCGGCTTACTCAAAGCTACGCTGTACAAGGAAGCCCTCGTTGGAAGGTCGCAGTACTATGTAGGCCACAAACGTCATCCTGCGCTGGTACATTCTCCATCACGCTAATAAATTATCCGCAATGTCTTCCAAAGGGGTAATAGTTCATAGTGTCTATGATACAAATTGACAGTTTCTTCAGTAAAATTAATCAGTTTCAAGAGACGACCGCATATTGCTTAATGATCTACAGTTTGCGCTGGGTGAGTAGGTTAAGTAAACTAAGTGAGTATAGGTACTTCTTAAGTGAATCAATATAATATGTTTGGCCAAAGTTGACAGAATTTAACCAAAATATATATAGCGGGATTAAAATACAATATAATCGCGTATAATGTCCGAAAAAATCGGCATAAATCCATAAGTTTTATAATTATTACTTTCAAAAAAATTAAAGGACTTGCAGCGAAATAAGGCATTTGGAAATACTCCTAATTATGGCGCCACAAACTGTAGCTAAACTGTGACTGTGCCAAATACCTAAGATCTTTATTTAATTCAATGAAATAAAAACGTAAACAAACTATACTATTTTAATAAGAGTACTTAAAAAAAACATTAATTTAAAAAAAAGCAAAACCGTCTTCAAAGAACCTTGAAAATCAGTTCATAAATGACTGAGTACTAAGGTAACGGACAACAATAATAGTGCAACCTTAGATTTCAGAACCTCACATTTTTTTGAAGTCGGTAGCATTTTTGACATCCTTATGTCACGCAATTAATCAAGTTCACATCAATAGTAGGCAACCCTAGTGCTATAATTTTAAGATGGAAAATTCTTGAAGCTTTACATTAGCTTGCATGAGCACGTCATTGCTAAAGGTTAGGTGGTACTTATGAACCCAAAGCAAACAACTTAGGTTTTGCATAGAGTAAAGAGAGTATTCACGTCGTTATTACGTAACTAGTTGGTGAAAATAATCATAAAATATATAAAGGATCCAGTTTAATATTAAGGATGAAGATAAAAATGGCTGAACCTATATATGAATAACTGAATTTGTGAACAAAAAGGAATACTTTAAAGTTGCTTTAAAATACTTGAATCATCAAAGTTTAGTTATAGTTAGCAGTAATGTGTGTTTCTGTCCTAAATCTTTCAATTGATGTTATTATAATTTTGTTGCTTGACCGAAGTCCATTAAATATTCAGATTTGTGCATATTAAATTTATATAATTCGAAATGAATCTTGAAATTTGAAATTGCTTGATACCTATGCTGTCTGGTGTATGTAGTGTTGCAACACTGCACTTCAAACGCGGTCACTAATCTTTATAGACTAATTTCCGGAACTCGCGAAGAATGGATCGTTTACAGATATGGGTCACTGGTTTCTATGTCTGAGGTGACATTGTGTGTTTTAAATGATTTTTATTAACAATACACAATGGGGCTTAGTTTAAACGGGACATTTCTTCATAGCGTATGTGAAGCATGTCTCACGCCCATGCATTTAATGTCTGTCACGTGGATTTTATTCCTGTCAATGATATTACATACAAAGATATGGCATTAGCGCACCCAAAATTGAAGCACTCAAATTACACCAATTGGTGTATGGTTATATTCCAACACTGTAAATAGACTGCTATCTCTTTCCATATCATACGTTCTATATCATTTGTCACATTTTCTTATATATGTTGTATAATGTAAAGTGGAACAAATTTTAAACGCCGCGCAGTATGGACATGCGTCATCTATATTATTAAACATCATTGGTTCCTGTCTGATTTTTAGCCTAATATTATCTCAGTACTACTAATATACAGGCTGTAACAGAATGTAGGGCAGAATAAAACAAAGTTTTAAGTTTTATTATACGTTACAGGTGACAAAAAGCGGTCATTTTAAACTTTAACAAATGTCAATTCAATGATGGAATGCACGTTTCCTTGAAGAGCAGGCAGAAATATGAGTTTAAAAAATTCTCGGCTGCATTATAATCATAGATCAGGATAAGATAAAATTGAGATGTATTATGATTGATTGTAAGCGTTAAAACTTGTATAAAAAGTACGAAAAGATTGTCGCCTCTGTGGGAATCGCAAAAAATAATAAACAAAATAATAAAGCAATGACGACACCTCACGTTCGAGTTATCGTTGTAAAACGATATTTGAAATTGTTTGTATGCTGGAAAGGATATAACAATAGATGCACCAAGCATTGCTTCAAATGCTAAAATACAATGTAGATAAAATACGTTAAGATTTTCGTCGATGTGGCAATCAGCCGTTTAGCTTAGTGGCTAAAGCGTCAGGCCGCGAATGCCGAAGACGTGGGTTCGATTACCACAGCGGCGACAATCTTTTCGTACTTTTTCTACAAGTTTTAATGTTTCATCTTAAGTGCAGAGATTAGCACTATAAAAAAATTTAAATTTGTATATTAGCGTCTAGATAAGGCTAGGATGTGATGAATTTGTTGTAATAAAAAATACTAATAACATAAAAATTAATTTATTTCTATAATCTTTCATAAAATTTGTTACCGATTTTTCCCAGTAAGTTGTCATAGGCACTTGTAATGGGAATAACCCGCTTCTTCCCTTATGGATAACTAAGACTATTGATTAACTAAAAAAGTAGCTTAAGAACTAATTAGAAATACAATCTTCACGCGCGCCGTGTGGGTGTGTATGTGAGAAATGGTTGTGATGAGTGCCATATAACATCGATGTGAGCGATATCACCAAATTGTATTTGTTTAATATTTGCAGAATATTAGTGAGAGCATGTTGACAAGGTGGCTGACGCTGGCGTTGGTGGCGGCGACTTGGCGAGCTGCCGACTCCTGCACCTGCGCACCAGAACATCCGCAAGCGCACTATTGTCGTAGCGACTTCGGTAAGTAGCTACCGCTAAACGATTTCATTTGTTTTAAAAAAAATATGGTAAACGAGCGACCGACTATCCTGACGGTAATTGATAACGATCAACTTTTATTTCCAGTAACAACGGTATTACCGTTGAGCCTTTTTGTGGCTACCTTTAGAAGTGAGTGCCTCCGGTTACCACACCCACTGAAATATTGTAATTTTTTCTAATTATTCCTGGTCTTCTGTAAAGTCTAAGAAGAATCTCTAAAAGTCTACCTCATGGCTCTACAAAAGTAGAAATATATGACATAAAAACTATTGTTAGATGAAAATATGATATCACAAAGAACACTACTATTACATTGCAATAATTCGGTTTTACGAAAAGTGTTAATGATTCAGTTATTACGTAACCATAAACGTAAACAAACAAAAAACGTAAAAAACGTAAAAATAAACCTATAAGGTTTATTTTTACGTTTTTTGTAACGTAAAAGGTTTATTTTTACGTTACTTACGTTAGTTTTTTACTTTTTTTGTTTGTTTACGTTTATGGTTACGTAATAACTGAATCATTAACACTTTTCGTAAAACCTTTTAGGTTTATTTTTACGTGGCTTCGAGATTTCATTCCTAATAGATGCAAGATTGCTTTATGCATTGTAAACTATTCATAATGACAAATGTTATAAACCGAAAGGCAATGAAATTACTGTTTACCCTGTTTAACGAATGACTTTAAAATGTATTCAGCGCGCTTCGAAAGCCATATTAATGTTTTATTATCGTTTCAGTGATCGTCGGCCGTGTGCAGAAATTGTTTAGGGGAAACGACTCTTACGACGCGTACAAAGTGAAGATTCGAAACATTTACAAAGTAAGCGATCCTTTGTTGCATTACTCGCGGTCTTGCGCTTTTAACGAGCTTTTTAAAGGAAAGCGACCCAACAACAACAACCTTTTGCATTGCATAATTCAAGATCGCGCTCATTCCGACATTATTCGAATGGGCCGGAATAATTTAAAGCGACCGCAGACAATTTACGGAACAAGTCGACATTTTGAATGTTATCACGTTTCGGGCGTTTTAACTTTCGAACGCACATTTTTGAAGCGATACTCCGTTCGGCGCGTTTGGAAAAAAACAACCAAAAAGCGCAAGTGGGTTGCAAAGCGAACAAATTCACGGCAACAATAAAAAGTTCTTGATATTTAACTAGTAAATAATAAGTTCCAAGTTATTGAAATGAAGTTCTTTATTCGCACGGTAACGCGTTTGGCGGATGGGAACTAGACGAAAAAAAAATGTTTTGCAAAAAAATTTCCGTCCCGAAAATACCATGTTAATAAATAAAAAATTTTTCACATTCATTATGTTCAACCGTCATCAATTGCATTTAATGTATGTTTCACAAAGAGTACTGGCACAGGAGATAAAAGTTTTAGTTATTTTTCTAGTTCGAAGTATAATTTCTTACATGGGTAATAACTACATGCAATTTTTCTTTAATATATAATCATTTAATAATAATTTTTTATATGATTTTATAAACTAGTATACATTTTAAATTATTACGAAGCATTAGTACTCTTTTAATCTGTGGAGTGCCTCGGATTCAGATTAAGTTATGCATATGCAATTACTTTCCATGATGTTAATTAACACTCGCCCGCCCTTTAGAGCTTACATTAATATTTTAACTTTATTATTACATTAGGTGTTGCAACTAAATATCGACCTTGCGTTATACCTCAACTAATTATATTGTGTTCATATTTGTCGTTTGATGAAAAATAATAATATCTAGAAAATGAATTGTCCAATCAAACGTTATGTTAAATTTGCAACTTTGAAGGAATATACGAGTAAACGTGATGGCGATTAAAATAGTTTCAGCAAATAATATGTCGTTTCCAGAGTAATACAAGAAATAATTGCAGAACATGAACAGGATTGAAGGTTACAAATCATATTAAACGTGATAAAATATCTAATTTACTCATGTGTAGTGCTCGCCTAAATGCAAGGTCATTATAAAGCACTTGATTGTAATAATTTAATGATTTACAGACAACGCCGAAGGCTGCAGTAGCATTGAGGTCTGGACGGATACTAACGCCACCACAGGAATCTCTATGTGGCGTAAGTCTTCAGCCGAGAGAGACTTATGTGATAACAGGTAAATTTCGAAATGTGAGTTTAGGGTACAGATAAAAATTATCACAATAGTTTTATCCGCGTTGCGGTATTCGAACTTGCGTATTCCGACTTATGCCTTTTAGCAAACTAAGCTGAGTAGCTGAAAAAAATATTCCTTACAAGCTAATTTCTGGTCAGTAACGCTCGTTGCTTTATACAGCACTACAATGAAACGTTTCCACCGATGTTGATTACATCATCATAACAAAAATCAAGCGAAGCTTTTCATCAAAGCCACCATTTTAAAAAGTCCCATCAGCAAACACTAGACACGTAAGTGAGGGGCGACTATAAACAATTCACGTTTACATTCGGAGCTTATTCAAACGCAAAAGACGTCTACTTGCATCAATAAGCATTCACAGTGATGTCCAAAGAATCAGAAAAAAGTCGTCGTCTATCTTTGAGCGTAATTTTCTGATTTGGGCTAAAAATTATAATCCACTAATGCCTACTACATAGAGAAAACCTTTGCCCATATGTGGATATATAATTATAGAATGACATATCTTTACTACTTCTATTTTATACATTTTACTTGACGAAAAAGGTTTATGAACCATTAAATATTAACTTGCAATTGTTCATTCAATAATTGTGAACTTAAGGCGCCAAGATTTTTCAAAAGAAATATTTTTGTTTTTGCTTTTTGTCTCCACAACTATTTACGACAAGAATTTTTGGCTATGGTTCGGCTGTTATTAGAATAAAAATAATCGGATGATATGATTTGCAGGGCACGTTTTACACTTACAAGCACATATAGACCTCTGCGGTTACATCAACAAATGGCGGGATGTCACGCCGAGGCAACGAAAAGGCTTTAGATTGCTCTACAAGCAGGGTTGCACTTGCAAGGTATGTTTATAACATAATCTAATAACAGTACTATATATAGAGATAAGTGATTACGACCGCAAAAACAAGCGATAAAGTTGTTTAATTGATACATCCAAACTTAGAAGGCGTTAACGTCGACGATCGAGTTTCTTTTGGTTCTTCTGAGTACATACGCAGTACCTATACAGTACGGTAAACTTATTATAAAACTTAAAAAACTGTTCAATTATCTGTGATCTAGAAATTCGAATTCTTGAAGGATATTAAGTATACCATTTCTTATCTAGAATTTTTCATTGGATCTTTGTCAAACAATTTGTATTCAAAGCCCGGAAAAATTGGTATAGATAATTAAATTCGGTCGAATGAATAGTTATTTTTGTAACATTTTCTGGTCCGTTACCTTCTTGCCCTGAAATAACACGATGTTCTCAAGACTCTCTTTAACTCAACGTAAATACTTTTAAGCCTTCGACATAATACGATTTGGCTCTTATATTGGGACAAAAACCTCTTTAGAACGAGGCGGGTTTTTATTTAATTTAAGACGCTGTCGGTTAAGTATGTACGTAAGTAAAGTACTTATTTACTTAAACGACAATTCAAATTATGTAAAACTTCTTAATATAACATAATAATATGAAGGTACATGTGTAGTTTAAGAAGGGAATAATGCAGTTTATTAAAAAAATATAATTGATTTCATTTTCTAACTCCTTCGACCTGGAAAGTGCGAATGCAATCTGGGTCAAATACCTGTCATACGGTTTAAGGGGTCGGGCAATATTAAGCTGTTCTTTTAAATAATTTTATTAAAGTTATCCTTTTTTTGGCGCGTTTCAAAAAAATTATCAGAGTATTTTTTTTACAATGCGCGCGCCCCTAAAAGGGACATGATGAAATTGGTTGCAAAACGACCAACTTGACGTTATTACCATGGCAACCAACTACAAATTTTTGACATTTACCTATAATTCCAAGCTATAACCGGGGATAAATATTTTAGTTGTTTTTATTATGTTTTGCTAAAGAAGCATAACTTCTGGTGCGTACATAAGTACATAAACACTTTTTTTTAACATCACAAACATTATACAAATCCGAAAGTTTTCACGCATCAGCTGACGAGATCGAAACGTGATTTTGTACGGAGATAAATTATATATAAATTGTACATAAGATGCTTTATAGCGCAAAAATCTACTAATTCAATTCGGCAGGAGCCACATCCAATTATCGCACAATAAGCTTAAGTAAATATCATATCACATTAAACCCACAAAATTCTCTTGCCTCATACGCCAAAAGGTCTCAAATCTCTGATCTCCGCGCTACGTGTGTCCAAATCTTTGAACATGTTCCATCGAATCCTCCGACTACCGCGTTACGTGTCCTAATCCTAACACGTTCCCCATGGCAGGTGCACGTGACGAGGCGCCGGACAAAGTCGCCGAACACGTGCGTGACGAACTATGAAGACTGCTTTGAGCGGCACGGAGTCTGTCTCCACGACCGTGAACGACGCTGCCGGTGGACCAGGTATGGCATCAAATGGAAACAATTTTGACACACTGTTTCAATTACGATTTGAGCCCTAATACCATTTTTTTAATTAAATATTGCTGGATATTTTAACCATCATTCTGTGTTTAGTTTTTATCAACATCACAAATGTAATGATCAATTTTAATTATCATTTCTGAAAGAGACGTGCTAACGATATACACTTCGTACCACCTGGTCTCCTTTATGCATATGTAAATCTGTGCATATGCATACCTATGCATATTGCATATTCATAAAGTACATGAGCGAATCAAAGGCTGCGAGGAAGACCGCTTTAACTAATTATGAGAACACTGGTTTGCCATTCGGTTAAAGGCAGAATTTTGTTCGTATATTATATATTTTCGCAGACCAAATTAATCTCATAATATTGATTCACAAATAAGTAGACATTTTTAACCCTCCACTAGATTTTCCTCAGCAAAATAACATTAAATAAAAAGCTTTCAAAAAGGATCACGTTTATGTCCTTAATAGTAATGCGTGTTAACGGAATCTTACTCGATCAGTAATATTAAGGCAATGTGAAAATATTCCATAATAAACCAAATTTAAAAATTAATGATTGTGTATGTGACGTATTCATAAATCGAAACGTATTCATTTAATTTTCGACGTTATGAAAATAACGACATTTGCAGCAGCTGCAAGAAAACACTTATTAAATGTGTGATCTTTAAAAATCCATCAGCCAAATCTGCTGAACAAGTCAGCAAGCTATGTAAATGCCAAGGATAGCCGACGAGCTCGTACTAACAAGCGGCGCAAATTCCGATAAGTAATAAAGCGAACATTGTTATGATAACTCGTGGATTTACCCGCGCCGTTTAATTTAAGATCCGTTTGATGTGAGCTCCTGTTAGTGTATTCAACAGCGGTTTATGTTACAGGGCCCCAGCACTCACGAGATGTCTGCAGAAGTCGCACTTCAACAGCACTATGACTTGATTCAAACTGTCGAACCCGATGCATTGCGAACATTATTCGTAACAAACGTTTGTATATCTCGACACATAACTGAAAATTCCGATGTTACCTTTGTTCTATACTAATAATTCACGATATCGTAACAAACATGGAGTTACTAAGCCAAAATGTTCATTCTAACACGCCTAGTAGGTTAATTTATGTGTAATGCTGATGCCCCGCTTTGGAATATGTCGGGCCAAACATGGTCTGGCTCGTCTCGGGGCGTCCTAACAATTTAATCGCATTCTTCACGAAAGTTACACGAAACGCAGGCAGCATGCAATGTGGCTATGAATCTGTTATTTTGGGCATTAAATAATGCAGCAAAAATAACAACACGTAGGCAAAAACTTTTTACATTTATTCCAAAATTAAAGACGAATTTATTCGCAAACTCTGTTAATTGTTATTCATTGAAATTCACGTTAGGAATCCCTAAAATTGTTGATTGTCTACGAGCGAAAGCGGAATTCTAACGTTATTTCTATTATTTATTTTAAGTTATATTTTTATTTATGTGTAAGTTAAATTTGTAAATTAACAAAAAATAGAATAATGATTACCTAAATAAAATAAAGAAAAAATTGTGTAACACTGCATTTTAATTTAGAACACTCCCAGTTTGAGACGCCTGGAATTGAAAAATAGCAATGATTTAAGAACACACTTACCATGTCGGTGTAGTTGTGATAATAGGTCTGCTCGATAAGTGGGAAGTTTTCTCTTCCAAGACGGCGTTGTAGTTGCAAGAGGTGTCCAAATACCCATGGTCGGTCCTAGTATGATAATAAAATTATTTATTTATTTATTAAGGCTTACCAACTAAATACATACAGAACATTGACATACAAATATATCTAACTTAATAATAAAGTTTTAACAATATATGTACATACTTAAATTACAGGTAAACACAACATTTAAAAAAAATTGAATCAGAGAACTGTAACTTAAGAAATTCACTTTTATGACTGAGAAAAAGAAATTAAAAAATTTGAGAAAAAATTATCAATACAATATTAACTAAAAAAGGTAGTAATAATAAGGATAAAATCACTCATGCCTTGACTTCACTAAAAGGGAAAATAAAACAAGAAATATTAAATGATTATCTTTGACGTAATTGTCCTAGCCCATACTGTGGAACGGCCACGCAGCACCCTCTGTTACAAATGGGCAGGCTCGCTCGTGGAAGTATAATGGCTTCACTCGCAGAAGACCGGCGTGGAGTGAACGTATTCTACCTTCGCGTTTCATCTTGTAAGTACCTCACTTAACCAGGGCTCAAAATATAGCTGGTTGGCAACCCACCAGGTCTGTGCAACCCGTCAGGTTTAAATATCCACTTAACTTACTTAACACAGAAGCGAAAGAGGAGAAGTGTGGTCTTAATATGAATTAAATGAATTAAATCGGGTAGATACGGCGAACAGGTCTTAAATCCTCAAAAAGAAATTTTCAGCTTTACTTATTGCATACGTGTGAAAATCAATCTCTAAGAATTGCAGATGCAAGACATTAGGCTCATTACTAGTTACATTTTAAACTCACGAGTTCACTAGGTTTAAAGACATGCGAGCTGTTTTAAATTTATACATAGCATTAACGACAGTAAAGTGAATATTGTAACAAATATGGTACAAACTCATGCTTGTTATATTAAATTATTCGTTAATCGAATGTAGTAAGAGAGCACGAAGGGGCTCGAAGTCACGTTATTCGTGCCTTTTACGATCAAAGTTAATCATAGTGAACACAAAATTGCTGAGCTCCTTTAACTTTCTCAATAAACTTGATGACCCGATAACGGCTCGGCTGGTGCATTGCCTTCTAGTGCTAGCATCCAGCGATATCAGTCGTGGGGTCGGTTTCTACACGCCTCTAATATTCATATGAACCACAGATGTCTAGGTGTTCATCATATATTTGAGTATTTAGTCCTAAAAGTTTTGCATTTATAAATAAAATAAGATGCGTATATTATGCGTTTATTTTTATTTTTAGTATCCGACGTTCGAACTCATTACAGCGTTCACGGTAGGGCAGTCTGTCTCGTGGCCAAGGTTATCGGTGAAAATAATTTCATATAGTCCCGTGTTATAAAGGATCAATATATCACTGTAAGAAAGTACACATACAGTCGTAAAAATAATATTCTGAAGTGAACATTGATTAGACGGAAGTACCTGGAAGTGGTAGATGGAATTAAGGCTGTTGATCGAAGGCACCCCGCCGAACTTCAGGCCCAGCAGAAGCGCACGGTGGTCGGCACCAGCATCCCTCACATTCTGCCGCACGAGCACGAAATCAGGTCTGTTGGGAGAAGATAATGCATTTGAAAATATTTACTGCTTGCTTAAAACAAAGAATGAGCCGTGATAGCTCAGTGTCCAGCCGCCCGCCTTTAATTCAATATATTCGAGCGACCTACGTACGATCCCCAGTGCAGGCACCAATGAAATTGTAATTTTAAGCGCAGTCTTATCACGTGCGTGAGGGAAAACATCGTGAAGAAACATCCATATTTTCGAAATAATAAAAGAAATATTTCGAAGATATGTGAAGTCCGCTAATCCACAGTGGGCCGCGTTGTGGACTAGGCTCAGTGCCCAGCAGTGAAATAAATACAGGCTGTTACTTCATTTTGCATTAAAACCAAGAAAGTATATGTGAAAATTTCTCCAACACATATTCATAGAAACGTGCATATTGGTAATGTGCGATTAATACACATTTTCAACGTACCGATTTTTTTACCACATCTTCCATGAAACAACAACGTTTTTGGTAACAACCTACGTTGAAGTTTGTGAAGTATGAATTAGCCTTACTTACACGAAATTCTCATACCAGAAGGAAACAGTTTCCTACAATCGCTTTAGGGTGTCACGTGGAAAAGTAACCTTACAGAATAAATGGTGGTGATTTACATACAATCCATTCCTGTCTTTTAATATATATTCACATATACAACAACGGTCACATAAAATTACTTTATATAATAATACGATCTCTTAATATTATTACTCAAATTACAGGTGAAATATATAGAAACGAATCAATCCAGATCCATACGATGAAATCATTGCCGATTCTATTCGCCCCAGTCGGAAAATACACGGAGAATGCGTACTATAAAACTGCTTTACGAGACCGACTGAGCACCTCGTGTGCGCCCATTTATTATTGAGATTATGAAATGGGACAGTCGTAAATCCGAAAAGCGGATTCCTGCGGGAGCCTCATAATGGCTTTAATGTTCCACTGGTAATAGTGTTTTAAAAGTCATAAATCTATTCGTTAAATATAGTACATTAAGTTTATCGGTAATTAAACTTAAAATTATTCACTGAGGCATTTATTTTCATATCTTTTATATAGAATCAAATAATCACTAATATACTTTGCAGGAAATCATAGAGCATAAATTGAATGAAAAAAGTTTAAGCGCTGTTGTCCGGCCAGTTAGTCACCTTGACTTTTATAAAATAACCTATTACTGCATGGAACAGGCGGCAATAACTAGAATATAGAATTTATATAACTTAAATTAATTTAAATTGTTTATAGTGCTAATCTTTGCACTTAATTTTATTTATAAATTAATTTAACATTTTAATGTTAAATTAATTTATAAATAATGTTTATTATTTATTTATTTATTTTCAATCAACTTCGAAATAAGGGGAGTTTATTAATTATCCTTATATATCATATAATAGAATAGTCATATTCAGAACCGATGAATGGGCAAAATCATCACAGATAATTCAAAAAAATTGTATCTGAGTGATCTCATTATTTAAAAAACCACAATTTACTGTCTTTTATAGTTATTTTATTAAATTGCAAACCCTTATAAATTTTGTAAATCCCAAATCACGCTTTTATTGAAAAGTTAAGAACATTTCCATTATTTTTGCTCACGTAACAACACGTTGAGTAATGTTATTTTAAACTTACGCGTTGTTGAGTTCGGTAGAATAGGAAATTTCTAAATTAAATTTCTAAACGAAATTTTTCATCATTAAAACTTAACCAAATGATAAACCTGATTTACTGGTTTAACCAGTATACCAACCAAAATAGTAAAATTCCTTTTATTACTGGATTTACCTTTTTCACATTCATAAATGAGCTCATAGATATTCGTCCTTTAGTGTATAGCGTGGTGACATACCATTTACAGCAAGGATTGAATTTTTTGCAAATGTAATCATAATTACTTTTAGTGAATTTATTGACCAAGTAAAAAAGGAGTCTTAGTGTTAAGTTTTCTGTGATATGTTTGATGTGTGTGTGCATAAATAAATAAAAATATGACGTAGAAAGTCATTTTCAGACTCCGTAAACGGTAATAACAAATGTTTAAATTTCAATTCAAAATCAATTGTAATTTTAAAATGTTTTGATGACAATTTTCAGTGCTAATTTGTGTGTAAATTTTTTCTTTAATTCGCTTAATTAACTTAACGATATGAATAACTGACATGCTGATTATAACCGGATAAAACTATAATATTGGGATGTCAAGCACATTAGTTTGTTTCGTCGGTTCCCTGCCTATAAAATTTTTGATTAATGACTGTGATATGACATAGCAAAGCAAAAGTTTTAATGTAACTCTTTACAGGTTTTTGGTCATCACACTACATAATGTAAAACAAAGACGTGTCCCGCTGTCAATCTGTCCGTATGTATGCTTAGATCTTTAAAACTACCCAACGGATCTTGATGCGTTTTTTACTAGATAGAGTGATTAAAGCCTAATCATCAATAAAGGGAGGGTCGCTAATCATGAATATACGGATTGGTGAAACTCCCGCTGATGGTTAAGTATTCGTTGCGAGAAGAGCGTTTTATATCGAGAGGGTTACGCAATTCAGATAAAAATGTCTTTCGAAAGTTTTGGTTAATTGTTTTACGCATATAATAGTAAAACATAGAGTCGTATAAGCCTTAAAGAGTGTTACAAAATTCAGAATTCTGAATGCCACGTACATAATTTTAGCCCATTTTATTAGCTATATGATGACAGTGCTACCGGTGGGCTTATTTTAGACTAAAATAGTGTCGTGTAGTTAATTTTACTGAGGGAATACTCACTTGAAGCATCTGGTTACTTTGGTCCCACTCCGATATACGGACATGGACACATTAGAACCTTCAGAATTCGCCGTTACGGACAGTTCCTGCAAAAGAACAACGTAATGAATAATAATATAAGTAGCCCTAATGATACAAAGAAAAAACTGTTGCTATTGAAGCAATTTGAAGATTGGCTGAAAATTTCGTTGTAATCAATCCAGCGGTTTTGTATTTGACGTGGAACGTACAAAGAAACGTCTTTTTATATATTTGTACTAAAAATTGTGTTAGTCCGTTATCAGTAAACGCTGTGCTGTGAATGAGGTTCAGGACTCAAATGAAACAATTTATATGATTCTCCATAAATAGTTGTACCCAGTCTTGGTGTACTTTTTTTTTATGTGAGAGAGTGGCAAACGAACTGGCGGTTCACCTGATGTTAAGTGATAACCACCGCCCAATGACATTTGCATCGCCCCTAATGTTGCAAATGCGTTGCCACCTTTAAATAAAGTGGGCCCCGTCTACCTCACTCACCAGACGAAACGCAGAAGTGTAATACTTCTACTTTACGCCGGTCTTCTGTGAGGTGAATATACCCGGATGGACCTGCCCATTCGTGTAACCGTGTTGCGTGGCCCTATCTCCGTAAAGTAACTTTGGTTCGGTGAATTCATATTTTTTAAACTTCCATAGGCACGGGAATTATGTTGTAGAGTATGTTCCTTTTTCATATAACTTGATCTATTTAGAGAATTTCCAATATTCCTCAGTAGGTAAATTAACAATGACAATGAATTTTAACATATGTCTGTAATATACACTGATGCAATACGGGAATAAATATAGTTGGGGGCTGCTTAGCGGCAATGATAAGGTTTCCTGTTGCATGGTTCGTCAATTACTTGTTATAGAAAGCGATTATAGAATACATACGAAGTACATTTACGATCATCCAACTTTTTACCTTCATCTAAATACTAAGTACAGTTTAATACATCTATGTTGATAGCACTCGTGAATAAATAAATCAATTTATAACCGCATTTCAAGACATATTATTGGAAATCAGAAGTATGCAAAAGAAAATTAACAAAAAGCATATAAATATGCATCCATATATGGACTATAGAATATTTGTTTAATGTTCTAATAAAAGTTTGTTATAAATTTTGAGATAACTATTCTGTTAAAAGTTTCTAAGAATTTCTAAACTTGATTTGTACGACTGGAAATGTATTCTAAAATTTCGAAATATGTCAAGGAGCTCAAAGGTATTTGTAAATATATTTGCGTATTCCTGCCCTGGAATCTGCCATGAAACGAGATAGTTCCATTTTGGATGTAAATCACGAAAATGTTGGTATTGCGGGAATGTTAATGTAACAACTTCGAGGAATTTCAACGTGCCTCGGAAAGTCGATACGTTGAATTTATATAAAATTTACAAGGAACTGTTAAAATGTTGAAATCTTAATTCCAATATGGAAGGAAATAATCCGCAGTTGCCATCAAGATGCCACGGATAACATGGGCCGGAATGATGACATTACGAAGACGTAAAAGTGCAGAAAAAACAGATTTCTCAAAGTTAACTGTCATGGAGCTACTAAGACTAAGCCGTAATTAAGTGATTGAATATTTTAACAGTGATTTAAATTATTCTTACCAGGAAGAATCGAAAACAATGAGTATCATCAAGCTAAACTTGAAAAAATCAATAACATACCTTAAACTCTGCTTGTTCCACGCGAATATCCCACTCGCCTGGCAGCCGACGTCCCCTGAAATACTTGGACCAATCGGTGTTCTGGTCATCCACCACCAAAAGAGTAACGCATCGATCGCGGTTGTAGCCCCTTCCCACGGAAGCCACTGATGTTACACTGCCTACAAATTAAATTCGTGGTTGCATATTCATCTTAAGTTAGAAAAAAATTATTCGAACGAATGTGAAGTCTGCTGCAGTGGGGTCTCGTGGTGGACTATGTCCTAATACGCTCTGTGAAAAGGCATATCGCCATCGCTTTTTCATTACTTAAATTAAGTGCGAAATCGGTTGTCGGATGACCTGATGTAGAGTTTTCGAGAAAAAACCCATTTTATTCAATTCAGAAATGTAGCTATCATAGATAGTTGAAAATCACCATCCAATGCACTTACAAATTCGTAAAGTTATTATTTATGCAAAAAGAAAACAGGAACGTAACGCCGTAATAACGAAACCTAGTAACGGATTATTAAAATTGCAAAAAATTATACGTTGTTCACATACAATTTGTTACCAAACAAGTGTGATGTTCGGAATTTGGAAGTGTGAAGTCTTGTTAAATGCTTTCAAAAAATTAAGGGTACATAGAAATTGTAAATATTCCGGAATATAATTTTAGCTGCGGATGTACATACACCCTTTTGAGTTGTGTAAACCATAAATGCTCATATTTAATTATTTGTGGTGCAAAATTTAAGATTATTCTGATCAGTTCTCAAGGTCTTTCCCAGTTCAACGGATTCATTGATGCAGCAAAAGGAGCCTCTGTGAGGATCTACCATTGGGCGAAAAATATATTTTTATGGTCAGTATTCTTTACAACTGTTTTTTATGCCTGTCTCGTCATTCTAATGACGATGACTTAAGAACTCGAATACTGAGCATTTCTAATTGTATTATTTATATACCATTATTTATTCGATTCAAATTTACTAACATTATAATAATCCCTGCAAATGTATGATCGTAATTTGAATAAAATGTTATTAATATTGAAGTCGTTCTCTAAAGACGACGCCATATCAGAGTGTTCACTGTTCTACGTAACATAAGAGTGTTCTGGCCAAAAGCACATAAGATTCGGCCTCAAACAAAGCCACGAAAACCAACTATGTATGTTTGCATTCAATAAACTATTCCGTCAGCGCCAGGTTTGGGGTGTTAATTCCGGCGGGGCATTGTCAGACCAGGGTATCACAACCACACACAGGACACAAAAGCCAACAACGAGCTTGGGGAAATTAACAAACGCTACCCTGCTTTCAAACAAAAAGTCTCACTATTTATGCGACATACAAAGCCTGAATTATAATTGTGCCTAACCTACTTTCCACATTTTGATATAACGACATCAGACAACACCTGTTTCTCGTTGGAGTGGAAACTTCTGGAAGTCTGTTAGGATTTTTTTTATCTATTAGCTGTATATCGTGGAATCTATTCAGTTACCTATTACAAACTATTATTTGATTTTTATAATGTAAGGCAATTATTTAAAGTACAAGTAATCTAAGAACTCTTGAAATATTGATGAAAATGATAAAAATCAATGAAAATAATGTTGAAAATTTAATGTCATAAACATTTTTGTAAATACAAAATCCACTGTTAGTAAATGGTTTTTACATTTTACTTCTGTTCATAGTTCCATGACTGTTGTGTTTCTTTTTTCATGTTATAATTTCATATGACATCAAATTTACCATAATCACGCTTTAATACGTAAGCAACATATTAAAAAAATACAGCTAGAAAAAAATATTATTATCATACATCACGCAAGTTAAATCGCAATTACAACACGTCTTAGGCAGCACAAATATAGGTCAAATTATTAAAATATTGATTTAAAACGTAGCCGTTATGGCTTTAAAACGCGCTTCATTCCCCTATTTGTTCTTTATTTGCATTCCACAATGTAGCTTAGGTGGTAAAAACTTAAACGTAACTTAACGTAAAATACATTTTTTTTACAATTTAGCGTGCAATGTCCATTGAACTTAATATTAATTTAATTACATTTATAAACATAACATTAAAAATATATAATTAATTAATGTGACATAATTTCATAATCATAAAATTTTATAAATGTAGAATATTAAAGTATTGTGTATGTAGTGTTTGTTAGTCGCTTAAATATTCGTGTATGCTATAATAACTCTTATTTAATAAGAGTCTTCATTTCATTTTTAAACTGATTGTAATTTTTTATTGCCTTAATTTTATTTGGTATTTTATTGTATATTTTTACACACATCGCGTAAGGTCCTGATTGAAAGAGGGCTAATGAGGAGCTTGGTAACGCTAATTTATTTCTATATCGAAAGTTTCGTAATTGAGGCCGTTCATTATGTACGAGAGGGATGGGTGTTTTCTAACGAATTTACTAATTTCAAGTATATATATGCGGATTAATAGTTAGAATTAGAAGTTTAGTAAAATGTGATTTACAGCTCTCCAAAGGATCTTTTATATTTGCAATTATTCTAATGCATTTTTTTTGTAAAATGAATAGTTTTCCTACTTCAACACTATTACCCCACAGTACTATACCGTAACTTAGCCAGGAGTATGCGTATGCGTAATATGCTGTTATTGCTGTTTTTATATCTGTTGCTTTTTGAGTTCATTTAATGCGTATGTAAATCTCGCTATCTTGTTAGTAATAATTTGTTAGTAATATGGGCTTTCCAATTTAAAAATATCGTCAAACCCAAAAGGAAAAATTCATCAACGCATTCTATTTCTGTATTTTGCATGGTACTGCGTGGCTCTACCGTCGTTTGAAGTTTCGTTTAGTTATAAAAATATGCCTTTTGAAAACGTAAATTTCTATAGACAAATGAACCAAAACATTCGGCGCTACGGGATTCGAACGTAAACGATTCGATCTTCTGTTCACTTCTTTCTGTTTTGGTAACACTTCCAGTCGCTTACTAACTAATCTAAGCTATTCCGCTTCGTGCTCTCGTACGGAACGGACGTCTCTCTAAGACGGAGGGCACATGCCACCCGAATTAGACGCCACTCGCAACCTCGGTTGCAATTTAAATCTTGTGCAAATAGTGCAGTAGATTAGTGTTAGTGTAGTGTTGTGCTCGTAGGCAGGTTCCTGTTTTGTAAGTAGAATCCTACACACATTTCTCGCCTCGGAGGCGGCATTGTTTTATTTATTATTATTTACTGTGTGCTTGTTGCAATAGGCGACAGCTAGGTACCCACCCTAGCGCACCTAAAGCGCAGGCAAATTAGCTGTTATTTTTAGGCACACTCCTCCCTGCCGCTAGGTGGGGAGGCTTATTTAGCTCACACACGCCGGCGGGGCTACAAGCCCCAAAGGCCCTTACGTCGCGATGGGCTCCCTTTTCGAGGAGTTCGTACGCAGAGAATGCCCCGCTATGTGGGAACGTTATCTTGCCTATGCAGCCGAGCATAGGCAAGTAGCTGAACTCGCGCCGCCGCCATTGCCCGCGCCGTCTGCGTCCGTTACCCCGTCGCCCTTCGCGACCTTAGAAGCCCCCGTCGCGTCGGCATCCACTAACGCGAACCCGCCCATAGCACCTTCCGTGCAACCAAACCCGACCTCTTTTCGCTCCGTCGTACCTGACTCACAATCGGACGGCGGATCGGACATGGAGGTCGAAACGACCCCCGCTGAAAACGCGAACGCCGACGGCTTCACCGTCGTTAAATCGCGTAAAAAGGGCAAGAAACGCCCCGCTACCGACAGCGACCCCGAATGCGAGGCCGCCTCAACGATCCGTCCAACCGCGACGCCCGCTAAAAAGGCGGCCGCGGCGGCTAATCCGATGCCCGAATTCGCCTCCGAGCGAAAAATAAAGCCTCCTCCACCCATCATCATTCAGGAGAAGGCTAAGTGGCACCAAATTTGTTCGTGGTTTGAACGCCACAATATCCGCGACCCCCGGTCGAAAAATACACAAATGGGTATCCGCGTATACCTTGACACAACGGACGATTTCCGCCGCGTAACGAAATACTTGCGCGAAAATAAGATAGGTTTTCACACCTACCCGTTGCCCGAAGAACGCAAGCTTCGGGTAGTTATCAAGGGCGTCCCCAAAGAGTCGGATGTCGACAAGGCGAAAAACCGACATCCGCACTCAGGGATACCCTGTGCATGCCGTCCGACGCCTCAGACACCCCAGAACCCGTGTCCCTATGGACATGGTGATGGTTGAACTTGACCCTACCCCGGAAGGTAAGGCCATCTTCAACCTGAAGAGGGTCTGTGGGCTCAGTGACTTAGTCATCGAGCCCCCGCGTAAGTCAGGTGTTGTGGCACAGTGCCACAACTGTCAGCATTTTGGCCACACGGCCAATAACTGCTTCGCTCACCCAAGGTGCGTCAAATGCACCGGTGACCACGGCACTACCGAGTGCACGCGGCCGAAAGATTGCGCAGATCCACCGGACTGCGTAAACTGTAACGCCACCGGCCACCCGGCTAGCTACAGAGCTGCTGCGCTAAGGCCCCAAAAACTCCCGCGAGGAAATCTCCCGCGAAATCCACATTGCCCAAACCCGCGCCCGTTAGATTCATTCCCGCGCCCGTACCCGTCACAAACGCCTGGACGAAACCCCAGGTGGCCGCGCAGGTAACCGCGCCGGTAATCCCGGTCGCCTCACGACCGATCGCACAACAGCTGCCCGCCTCTCAAACGGCGCCGCTGCCGCAGGTAAAGCCAACTCCGTCAGTTTTCGCGGAAAACAAGGACGACCCATTCGCGCAAATCGCTAATATTTGCAGCTTATTAGATAGGATCAAAAGGCAGGAACTCGCCGTATTGTCCGCTAAAATAGCGGCCGCCACATCTGGCCACGAGCGTCTTAGGGCAATTAGCCAACATAAAACGCTTGTGGAAGCCCTTTGGGCTTTTACGAGCCAACCGTAAAAGACAATAGTCCGCGCAATAAAACCGCGCTCCGCCACGTCGTTAATTAGACCCATAAAAAACACCTTAATGGGAAGTACAACCGCAGGTAGAACAAAACCTCGGGCTCTGGTTGTTTCGTATTTCAACGCAAACGGCATAAAGGGTCAAAGGGACGAAATCGCGGAATTCCTTCGCGATTATAACGTAGATATTTTTCTAGTGCAAGAGACATTCTTGAAACCTAGTGTACGCGATCCCAGAATCGCAAATTACAATATTGTCCGCCACGACCGGTTAGCAAACCGTCTGGGAGGCACACTAATTTATTATAAACGGTCCTTGCACTGTTGCCCGCTCGACATTCCGGAGCTAAGTCAAATAGAGGCATCCGCGTGTAGGTTAGCGCTCACCGGCCACAGGCCGCTTGTACTAGTCTCAGCCTACCTCTCGGGGAACAAAACCTTATTACAAAGCGATAGTTACGCTACTCAACTTAGGCCCTTCCGTGATAATTGCAGGAGATCTAAACTGCAAACACGGTTCATGGGACATCCACAGCATCCCAAATAACAACGGAAAGCATCTCTTTAGCTTATCCGATAATTTAAACTTTAGCATAATCGCTCCTGCGACTCCCACTAGGTATCCTACGGTGGACAACTACCAACATGCGACACCGAGTATCCTAGATATCATGTTATTCAAGGAGGTCTCGCTCGACATCGAGTCGATAGAGACAATCCACGAACTAGATTCAGATCACAGGCCCGTCCTGTGTAAACTGGGCCAGAACGCCGGCGCGGTCCCTCCGACCAAATCCGTAGTGGACTGGCATCGTCTTGAGGTCAAACTCAAGGCCTTGGACCCCCAGGACTTAATCGAACTACCCGAGACGATATCTACGTTCGATGACGCAAATCGAGCGATAGCAAGTCTCCGAGAAACCATTACTTCCGCAGTCACAGACTCGGAACGGACGGTGAAACTGTCGGGCGACCGACGGTTTAACTTTCCGCCCGACCTAAGACTGCTAATTAGACAGAAAAATGCAGCCAAACGCGCTTTCGACCGATACCGATCGGAATCGAACCGAACCCTACTTCGACGCCTTCAGCTAGAAGTCAAAGATCGTGTATCGGAACACCGACATACAACGTGGGACACTCTCCTAGAGGACATCGAGCCATCGAACACCGCCTACTGGCGGTTGGGCCGCAGTCTGAAAGCAGACCCCCGCGAATCTCTACCGCCATTAATTAGACCTAACAGCGCTTCAGTAGCCCTAGATGACTTCGAAAAAGCCGAATGCCTTGCGGACAACCTAGAGCAGCAATGTACGCCATCGCGCGAACACACCGATACAGTCCACCTAACGGAGGTGGACCGTGTAATCGAGACTAGGGCTGCGCTTCCACCGGAAGGCGATCCTTTAAGTTCAGTGACCCCTGAAGAGGTCCAAGATATTATTAAAAATTTAAAACCGAAATCCGCCCCGGGCCCAGATAAGATCAGTAACAAAATTCTCAAAGCTCTCCCGGGTCCGCTTATCTGTTTTACTGGCGACCATTTTCAACACTCTACTCTCCAGTTGCTCCTTTCCGGACGACTGGAAACAAGCCACGGTTATCGGCATTCGCAAGCCGAATAAACCAGCCAACCAGCCCTCTAGCTATCGTCCCATCAGCCTCCTCAGTTGCCTGGGGAAGCTCTACGAGCGGCTCTTATTAAACAGGCTCAAAGAGCACGTATTTTCCAACGGCCTTCTGCCCACGGAACAATTCGGCTTTCGAGCTAGACACTCTTGTCCCGACCAGTTATACCGCCTAACGGAGCACATCCTAAAAGGCCTAAACCACCCGAAACATATCAGTACAGGGGCTGTTTCTTTTCTTCGATGTCGCAAAGGCATTCGACAAGGTCTGGCACAACGGCTTGCTTTACAAGCTGTACACACTCAAAGTGCCAGATAGGCTCGTACACACCATCCGGGCCTTTTTGTTGAATCGCTCTTTTCGATATCGAGTCGAGGGCACCCTCTCCACAAGCCGCCGCCTCACGGCCGGCGTACCACAAGGCTCCTGCCTCTCACCTTTGCTCTTTACGCTCTACACGAGCGACATACCCAAAGACCCCCACGTCAATCTCGCGCTTTTCGCGGATGACACCGCGCTCTTTTATTCAGACCGCAACCTTAGAATACTAACCACTCGACTCCAAAGCGCCGCCGACCGCCTCGGCGATTGGTTCCGCAAATGGAGAATAGAAATAAATCCCGAAAAAAGTGTGGCGATTCACTTCACACGAAGTACTTACCCGTCACATCTTTATAATGGCCCTCGCCAATGCAGAAAGTTGGGGCAAATATCCCTTTATGGCCAACCGCTCCCCTGGGAGAAAAAGGTCAAATACTTAGGAGTCACTTTCGACTCGCGTATGTCATTTACTACGCACATTAATAACGTTCGTAATAGAGCCGCGTTCGTCTCCGGCCGGCTACACAATTTAACTAACGCTAAAAGTAAAATGCCTTTAAGGCACAAATTATTATTATATAAGACCTGCGTACGACCTATTATGTCCTACGCATGCATGATCTTCGCCCACACGCACCCTACTCGCTTGTACAAGCTGCAAATAGTACAAAATAAGTTCATCCGCCGTGCAACCGGTGCGCAGTGGTATCAACGCAACGTCGATCTGCACAGCGATTGCAGACTCCCGACGATTCGCGAATATTTCAAAGATCTGACAAAACGGTTTTTTCGATAGAGCCGAACATCATCCCAACCCTCTGGTGGTAAGCGCAGCAAATTACCAACCCGACACAAACGCGAACGTCAACAAGCGTCGCCCGCTAAACGTCCTCATCGACCCGGTCGAGGAAGGGGACTTAGATACGCCGGACCCACCGCCGGGGGTCCCCCGGATACATCCACAGTTAGTGCAACAACAAACATACTAGTTCGCCCTCGCCTCCGAGCACGGCGAGACCAACACAACGCGTACACAAGGTACACCCGCGTTCCAGGGCGGTTCTCACCGCCCGCAGCCACCGATTAGCTAAAAACACGGTCGACGGCCTTCGGGGTCTCGGTCCGCACCGCAACTTCGATGGCCCTTAGATGACATGTCGTAGTTAAACGCACGCATGAGCACATGCGCGGCCCTACCCACAGCGGAGGGCCCAAACCCGTGGGTTCTGGCTAGCCCACCGGTTCTGCGTCAGATGAAGCTTTAATAGTCTCGGGACTGAAAGCAAAAACATCAGTTAATACAAGATACTAATCTAAGCGGTTCTTGACCTCACGGTGCGAAACAAGAAAAATAATTTGCCTGTTAAAATCTGAACGCTTAATAAGACGGTCCTTACCGTACCTTTCGAATTTTCGACTCTATTTTTCATACGAATGATATAGGTAACCTTTTTTTAGTTTCTGATTTTTGTAACCCCAACCAAAGAATGAAGAAAATATACACACATATAAATGCATAAAGACAGTCGGATAACTATCCGATAAAAGTAAGGTAAGTAAGGTAAATATAAGTAAAATGTTAGCCTTAGAACTTAATTACTCGTCATTATTTAATTCTACGTAATGGAGCCCAAAATCTTAAACTAACTGCCCATAGTCTGCGTGAACCGCATTCAAATCTATACAGCGTATTTTTACAAAATAAATGCGATCACAAATAAGATATTGCGTGACAAAATTGTTGCCATCGCGAATCCAAAGAAATTGCCCTGAAAGAGAAAATAAATCGAAATACCTAATAAGTTGGCGCCTTGATCTCGGGCGGCACCTGTCAACGACTGAACACGCTGCAGCAGGGATTCCCGTGACTTAGCCGGGGATGAAGGTGCAGAGGTGCCTCGAGATCCCCCCCTCAAATTCAGGGAGAGGTCGCCCCCCGCTGGAGGGGGGGCGGGCGCTGGCACCCCAGAAGCACTGCTAATGCTGCCACCAGTGGCTAAACGGAGGAGCTCAGATGTAATCGTTACACTTACTAAATATCGATCGAGAATATAAAATAGGGACTTAAGTCCTTCTCCGCTAGTACATAACCAAGCTAAAGGTTCTTATGTGTCAGAGCCACATATTTGGTCCCTGCGATATAGCATGTGCCTAGTGCGGAGACCATCTTTCAAGTGTAATCTGTATATGCTCAAATGTACCTTCGGCTTGCAAATAAATGTTTCTATTATTATTATTATTACTAATTACAACCAGTAGCATAATTCTGAGTTTGTATTGTAAAGCGCTCTCATCTGGATGTATCGTGTTCAAATTAAAATATTGGAATAAGATTATATGACCATAGAAGCTGATCTTATGTGGTCGAACACATCAGTCTCAAGTTTTCAGAAGTTTAATACCATCTCCGAAGAGATACATGTTTCATTAATGTTTGCTTTTCAAAATTCTTAAGATTGTAATTCTAAAAAAATAAAAGAGAAAATCGCACGATGTTACTTTTTGACATACATATTTAAGAGACTCCTTGCAATTAAATAAGTTACAACAAGTATAAAATCAATTTTCTCTTCCGCAGACCTTAATTCTTTTTATATAAAAGTTTTTCCAGTTGTTCACTCTGCGTAATCAGATAAGTCTTGCTTTATAAGTTTGCCTTGCTCTTTGTCTCAGCAAGTTTAATTGTAAACAACTTTATGAGTTTGTACCAAAGTTATTAAGTTAAGCCTCGGAGTTATCTTTTTTTAGTATTAAGGGGAATTGACAAGAAAATTTGAGTTTTCTTGAAAAAAGAAAACAATATGATGGAATAAATACTTTGACAAGTAAATTGAAACCTTTGTCGTGACTGACGACGACATATGTGAATATCTCAGAAGCAAGTAATTCCAGAATTAATATTTTTTCTAGAATCAGCAGCCATCGGCGAAGAAACTTTAATTTTTTATAACATTTAAAAATAATCTCATCAAAGGTGTAAGTACTTCAGTCAGGGTCGGATGGTGTTACACCTCTAGATGTTTGGGTAATATTGTGTCTCAGCTATTTAGCTACAGATCGTATACAAAACAATCTGTACGAATGCAATAAAATCCAATGACCCTGAGATATAAAGTAAATATCATTTAGGAGCACATAATTCCTACTGAAAATATTTCTCAATAAAAATTTCTTCGTATGAACGAATTTACAATTCATTCATAACGAGCTTTTGGACTCGGCTTTGCCCGTGTGGTTAACTTTAAAATAATCAGTCCAATTACGGAATAAACAAGCTCGCAGTATTCCAGTTTTAATCAAATTATAAAGGATTTCATCAAATCATAAAGGATTCCGTCAAATCGTAAAGGATTTGATTAAATTCTTTATTAAAACTGTTGCGGTGTGAAGAACAAATGTGCACCAACACACGAGATATCACTACATAGTATAAAACAAAGTGGTCCCGCTGTCTGTCTGTCCCTATGTATGGTATGCTTAGATCTTTAAAACTACGCAACGGATCTTGATGCGGTTTTCTTTGCTCGAGTGATTCAAGAGGAAGGTTTATATGTATAATGCATTGCACCCGTGCGAAGCCCTAGCGGGTCGCTAGTAAGTGCTAAAGTACGAAACTACGTTATATCTCGTCGCTCCGACATCCGTTATTATGGTATTGGTGTGACTTTTGAACCTCGTGAAGCACATATCGCTTACCCTGTGAGACCGGCCTCTGATGCTGTGGCTTGGGCTGGCTGGTGGTGGCCGGGCGGCCGGTGTACGGGTCGACCTCGCCCTCATCGCACTCTGACTGCAGGTCCCCGGAGCTGAATCTGCGCAACGCCTCCACTGAGCTACTCGGCCACCGCGCCACCGAGATGCCACGCCGGGACAGGGACAAAGGAGACAAAACCACACGCACATGTAGCCACCCTATGCCGCCTCTTTGCGCAAATCATCGGTGTTTCAAAATTGACGTGCTCTGTATATATCAGATCGCACAAATTGAAATTGTTGTTGGATCCAACCACCTCGTTATTTTATTAAAAGCAGAATATATTGCAATCAATTCGCGTTTTATTGAAGCTTTCATTTAGAATTTTCAATTAAACATTGATTTAATTCTTAATTCCTTCCAATTATTTTATCTGAAGCTTCACCATTCATCGCAATATCTATAAATGTTGCATCGTCCATTGAGGTATTTATTTATCAGCTTACAATTATTACTTAAACTTAAGAACTTTCTAGGGTAAATATGAGAGCCACATCGAATGACAACAATGACTTTGAAAACATAATAAAGCGCCATGCATAAAACTGGCTTTCTTACTCCGTTTCAAATTATCGCAAACGGACTGAAATGTTCGCGTGAGACCGGCAGGCGTAGGTGTGGAGAACTAATAATGAGTGGTGCTACACATTATGTGAAGAGCAGGTATGGAGAACTGGGTTTCTGGACACTGATAGTGGACAGGAAAGTTGGAAGCAGAGCAGTAAAGCGCTCTCACTTGCGGCGGTGATGACCGTTAACACCACTTACAAAACTGAGCTAATAAACCGTAAGCTATACTTAGTACACGAATAAGGATTTCATATGATGATTTATCTTGACTTCGACGATTTCACTTGAAAATACCAATTTAGTTGATCACGATATTCTGTAGCAAATTGAAAAAAAAAAATAAACAATGGCATGCAAATATATATAATCAAAATTTTTAAACAAATTTCGTCACAATACAAGTAGATGTAATTACAAGATTTAAGTTTCATAAACTCCGAAAACTATGACAAAATCATCGAGTGAACGCAAAAAAAAAAAGTAGGGGAAAAATGAGCTATAAACAGTATTAGTACGCACTCACCTTCTTTTCAGGTAATTGACATTGGAGGTGAATGAGTTTCGGAAGCTTGAGAAAGACAGGGTTGATGTGGTCGCGGCCTGTGGGCCACAAATCCCAGGGCACCCCGACCGCTCTATTTTGACCGCTCCTAATAAGTTTACGTTATAAGTCGATGATGGCCACACTACCCTATAACCACGATATTATATCATAATAAAATTATCATTAATATTTTAACACCAGTCCACAAATAACATTTCCACATAAGCAAAAGTAAATAGATTATTTGTTATATATTAGTCGAGTCATGGCATAGATTTAAAAAATACGTGCCTAAGATATTTCACTCGCAAGTCCAACAGCTTTTGTAAAGCTAGGGCGTAGGGCGAACTGTTAGCAACACGGCAGATGAAAATAGAGATGGTAGTACCTGTCAAGAGAAGACAATTTTAATTATTTTAAAGTATCATTTTAATGAAATTGAGTATATTATATTGACGACCCGATTGACGTAGTGAGTAGTGACCCTGCTTCTAGCGCCAGAATGTGTGGGTGTCGATCCCCAATACTGGAAAAATATTGTGAGATGAACACAGTGTTTTTCCAGTGTCTGGGTGTTTATATATTTATAATATGTATTTATTTACAAAAGAAAAGTAGGTTTAAGTATGTATGAGACTAGAAAACGTTGTGTATAAATATGTTCTGAAATATATATTTTTTTATTTACTACATAAATTTTAAATTTTATTTGTGTGTATCTTATTAGTAGCGGATACAAAAAATGCTTATTGTTAGCGGTTAAAATAAATTTCTAAGTTTGTATTGTATAAAACCAATTGAAACTAACAAAAATCTAATCCTCGCTTAATCTCCTGTAGTTTTCAATACTTTGCTTAAATTATATTTAAATATACTTACAACTCTACGTAGAATACTGAATTTAACTTATACAAAGATAGGTAGCTTCATTTTTAAAATAAAATAATTATACTAAATTCTTATACAAACCTTTCAGTATTTTGAGTTTGATTGTTGTGATTAACCTTATTTATTTATGCAAACAATTTAACTTATTATGTGTACATCCGCTACAAAAAAAATCCTGTGAGCTTTGAGAAGTTAACAATATTTGACTGGTAAAAGAAGCAATATTGAAATATAATAGTAAAAATACATTGAAATGTGAAACACATAAGCTTGAAATACTCAGGCATACATCCCCAAAGCCGCTGTTTATTTTAGCGCTTTGTGTACTCTAACAAAAATTCACTTGCGTCCACGTTTTACTTTCCATTATTTGTGTAAATAAAACACCACGTTAAATTTGCGTAAACCTCATTTCTCCGAAGCGTTCTCAAAATGTGTGAATTTTCGGGCGAGAAATTAGCTTAATTGTTTAAGCCGGGAGGTGCGTGACAGAAAGTTTTAGCAATAAATACTCGCCAAGAAACTCACCCCAGTTGAAATAGCCTACCGTAAGTAATACTAGAGGCTGAATGGAGTATAAATGAAATATACTTACATATATTTTAGTCCGCTTTCATTTCTCTTGTAAAACGGTGATATTATTGTTTGTGGGAAAAAGGTCTAATCTATTTTGTTTAGAGCTGTTATTTTGTAATGAAAAAGATTGGTCTAGCTATTGATTATGCAATTGTAACAAATAGTTTTTCAAATTATATAACCAATCTAAGGCAGTCACATTTATCACTTAAGATTTTGCAACTGTTGCGATCAGGTATGATTGTAGTCAAGTGCTTCAACTATGTTAGGGTCACGCAACAGTCTTCGTTGTTGCACGAATGGGCAAGTCCATCCGGGGAAGTACCATGACTTCATAGAAGACCGGCGTCAAGTGGAACTTTTACACTTCTGCGTTTCGTCTGGTAAGTAAGGTAACCGGTGCCCAATTTATTAAAAGGTGGCAACTCATCTTCAACCCAACGTGTGTTGCAAATATCTACGGCGGCGGTTATCACTAATCATCAGGGCAATTTTTTGTAAAAAACTGATCAAATTAATAAAGAGAAGCACATAAATTGTGTAATATCCAATGTGATCATCTTCCCTAGCACAATAACAAGCTTAAATACCTTCCTTAAACACCGCGCTATAAAATAATTGCCATAAACGAGCAAGTAATATCCTTACAACCATAGAGAAGCATTGCGTCCATGTCGTAAACGCGCACCCGCTTGAATACCATCTTGACCTAATACGTGTCACATTACATAGACATATCTTTCCATACGAGCTTAGGTGGATCAAAAACTGATCGTAATACCAACAACTTCGTAACTTGGAACATTTACCAACTTTAAAGCGCGTCTAATCAGAGAGATATATATCGTGCATACACATCGGTCGTATAGCTTAATTCTCTTGGGCTTAAAGCATTTTGCGACAAATATGTATTTTACGATTATATTTCTGATTAATCTGCTGTTAACTTTAATTAGTTACAATTAGAGTTATAAAGAGCTGAAAGCAAAGTTAAAGTTAATATTAAGCTTTGAATAGTCTTCCAAGCTTGAACATAAATTTTTCAAGATTACTTTTTACTTTGTTTTGTTATATAACATGCTTATAGTGCTAATTTAAAAAAAAAATTGGTACGTATTATATCTTTATGTTAATATATTTATATTATGTACCTTATACAATAATGAAATAGAATGTTTTCAAAATTGAAACATTTTTATTAAATATTATTTATAATAATTGTTATATAATGCACGAAACATTGATGAAAATTTGTAATAGATCAATGGAAGGAATAAACAATTTTACGATACCTTAATACGATAAATATTCTTAGAAATTTTATGTAAATAAGACCATGAGTTGCAACACATAATGTCGACATAGATTTATAAGCATTTGGATAAAAGCCAAATTTAGGGCACATCAACCATTGTTACGGATCGTTACACAACCGAAGGGATTATCCATTACGGGGCATGAAAAAGTCGTCCACACGTTTGATCCTCCATTTTCGACCGAACCTCCCAACGCAGTCAACCTGCGTTTTTATTACTATCCCTACATTTCGATCAGTTTTATTTCCCCAAATGTAGCAAGGTATAAATTGAAACAGAAGAAAACCTCAGACAGACTAGCCAAAGAAAATGAAAATACGTTATTTGGACGAACCTCCGTTGATATTTTTTTGAGAAGACATTTAAGTTAAAGAGAAAAATTAATAAACATTGTAATATTTTATTGTAAATTTATTTCCTCCCTTTTAAATTTTTTTTTACAAAAAGTTTCTTTAATATATTATTCGCTCACAGTATAAGTAAATTATTAAATCTCGAATTCAATAAATCATTCAAATAACAATATACAAATCTATAAACGAGACATTTTCTTTTCAGCGATAACTTTGCTCGTCGTCTGCCTTTTGGAATTCAGCCAAATATCGACGGTTTCTCAAGAATCGATACAAAATTATACTTAATCAGTTTACAGATTTTATATGATTGTATATAAAAATGTTATTTTTAAATTTAACTTCCAGGCATTGTTTTTAATTTATAGTTCGCGTGTAACATTTTGCCATTCATCATTTCACAGGCGTCCATTTAAAAATAATTGGTACCTTCCCGCCGTTCGTTTGAGTAAAACATAAAATTGTAACAGTTTTACCCAAGGGAATTCAACTGATTAATATAGTAATGAATCGGCTACGTCGGCCGAAATTCACGAAATAAATTATATGGGAAATCTCAGCAATAATCTCTGTCCGAATCTAAAACTAAAAGGATCTGCTTACCTTGTAATTACTTTTTTTTTAATCAAAATTACATGTACCACTATTACCAGTATAAGTACCAGATATTATTAAACTTGCTTACAAGGTTAAAATAATGGTTATTATATAAATTATAAAATATTATATAAAAGAATTAAAGCATGCATTCGATGAAATAATCAAGTTGAAGTTATAAAATTATATAAAAAATTAATTTTAATAAATAAAACATAATTAATTATAAAAAAAAATAAAACATCATTTATTGCATTCGATTATAAATCAAAATTGATTCAAATTAATGTAAAAATGTGTACAAGGCGGTTAAAATGCAACGCAATCGCTATAGGTTAAGAGGTAGAGCTCGCACAATAGACTATCCCCGCCCTATATACCTTTGAACTTAACCCCGCTTCCACAATACATATTCGTAAGATTTATTTCCGTATTATCCCTCATAGTGCAGTATAATGAATGAACTAAATTTTTTATATCAGAAATATTCGTTTTAATAATATTTCCCGTAATAATATTAAGGGTTTTACTTACAATCGAGGGGGGTGAGTCCGGAAGATTGGGGAATGTTGCCTGAGCACTAGCTGCACGTGAACGTACACGAAAATGAGTGAAATGGGGTTGCCTTCAGAGACACTGATGCGAAAAACGGGGGGACAGCGCAAGTTGCCGGGTTATTGATTTTGGGCGGCGACACATTCAAAGCCGTCAACGCCCTCTGTACAAACTTCAATCACAAACTACGAAATTGTAATAAATACACCGATAGATGGCGTTCAAAAGTGTTTATAAATGTGAAAATATAAATGTAATGTAAAAAATAAAAGCGGATAATATTTCGTAATTGGGTTTAGACCTTCGCTACAACTGTAAATTTAACACCAACAACTCATAGAAAACTTAGATTTTAAATCTCTCTGTCAACGATCAGTATAATATTACGGTAATTTTTAAATTGACTAAAAGAGCCGAATTTAGAAGGAATTCTAACCAGGAACTACAGTGGAGTATGTGGCCTGTACGGGCATTTTAGAAGAGCATTCTAATCAATTCCAATTGACGATAACAATTAACGTTAATAACTTGACAAATTGAATTCCACACATTTTGATTAAATACTCTCATTGACGATGCCAAAATCACCGTTGTCAAAGAACAACAGGACAATTTGAAAAAAATTGACACGGTCAAATTGGCCACTGCATCAATTTTTAATTACTTTTCGTGTAAGTCCAATTTTACCTAAATCAGGCGGTACGGTTTAATCAAAAAGAGTGAGAATGATCCATTATATGTTATAATCTAGTTTTCCCAAATCATAAGACTCAAAAATTTATTAAAGATAATAAAATTATTTTGGTTTGCGTGAAAAGCTACCTGCAAAAACTATTAAAGTTCGAAACAAAATGGCCTACAGATTTCGCTCTTTGGTAATAAATATGGCTTCTATTAAAATTAAAATCTTTCAACATGTATTAAAAAGTTCTATTTATGAAACCATAAAATCTATGAAACCTAATAATTTTAAACGATAACTTATATTTGTAGGTTTATTTTTAGTCTTAACTAGCGACCCGCCCCGGCTTCGTACGGATGCAATGTATCATATAAACCTTCCTCTTGAATCACTCTATTTAGTAAAAAAACCGCATCAAGATCCGTTGCGTAGTTGTAAAGATCTAAGCATACATAGGGACAGACAGACAGCGGTAAAACTTTGTTTTATACTATGTAGTTATGCTAATCTGCACTGAATCTGAAATTTAAATGTGCCACTCATTTAGAGAGGTACATGTTCGAATATATTAAATGTTAGTAATGGTTGGAAAGTTCTATAAGGCGATCACGTAGTGCAAATTTCGTATCGGTGTTTCACATCTGCTACATGGTGTTTATAGTTATGTACTTTCGACACAAAGACCAGCAGCTGGGAAATAATTTGTAAAAGTAAATCTAAGCACAGCTACTGCGAGGCTAGGAGGCTTTAAAAGTTCTTTCTACTCAGATTGAACTAAAATAAATAATTAAAAAATTCTAAGTTAATTTAAGCAGTTACTAATGTAAAGCAACTCAATCTGTCCCATGACCAAAGTTAGTCCCGTAAGTAAAGGCTTCGAAACGCCGAGAATTTAAACACGAGAATAAAGACACACAGAGAGTAATCTGTAAAACAGATTTGTATCCAGTATCTCCCTTCTTTTTTCTTCGATTGCATATTTAACTCGCTCCAGGAGTATTACCTTACTTCTGGTTATTGGTATATTCAGGAGTATACCAATAAACAGAATTGCTTCGCAGTCTACAGAAAATGGTCGCAGAGTCTCGACCAATCGGGACCCCTAAAACTTTTATCTTTTTACACCACTAGACAATATCTTGCTTGACATATGTTCATAAAGATGAACTAAAGTTTTACCTTTAGTGACAATCCCTCACACAATACCATTATTTTCTTATGTTTTTGTGTAAAAATGGTTTATTGGATAATCACTATGTATTATTTTTCTTTTTTATTTATTTTTATTCTATTTTTTAGTCTAGCAACTTTCAGTTCGATTTTTTGGGCACGTTGGATTGACAAATTGTCAATTGGACACTTCAATAACTACCCCAGACGTTAATATTCTTCATGCAATATATGAAATATTAGAACATTCACAACCTCTTCGTTTTCACTTGAGAAAACTGTGAGCCGTTATATTTCATACAAGATAGCTTAAACAAGGTTGCCCTTCGTGGTACGGAGATGTGCAAAAGATTTTACGTTCTTTAAATTTTTTTCACTTTCTTCCCAAATCAGTTATTGTTAGACGATAGCTAGTGTAATGATTTATCTTAATATTTATACTAATAACATTTCTTACTCAAGTTTTCACTTCTTTACTCAAAGAGTGATCTAGCTTACGTCTCTACAAATTATATTTATCTTATATATTATAAATATAAGTATGTATCCTAACTAGAGTCAGTAACCAAACAGCTTGAAATTGACTGTACAAGGGTCGTACACAAAAACGACTCCACAAGTCGAACATATTTCATAGTATTTCGTTTGGCTAAAACGAATTAGCACTCATCGTACAGCTAGGTTAAGGTTTACAAGCTAAGTGCTTATAGAAAAGAAATGGCAAACGCCATGAACCACGAAAGAAATCTACAATTAGGATGGGATGATATAACCTAACGGATCTAATTATTTTTCGCGTCTTACATTACTATTATTTTAATTCCCGAAATTTTGAACCGTTTACAGGTAAAAGGGGAAAAAATTGTAGAATTAGTTTCATTTAATATGTGTCGTACATCACACATAAATTCATAAAATCAATAAACGCAAGACAAAGTACGCATATTGACCGAATTATGCGTAGAACACTCTCTGATGTCAATATCACGATTAAGCCCTGGTCTGAGATGTGTCCTTAAAGAGATACACGTATATAAAATAATTATTGTAACATTTATAGCCCACTAGTGCATAAATGTACACTAAAAGACGCTCGAGACCAGATTCCACAGTGATATGTCAACTTAAAGGGAAGTAACATTTTGTAAGAATGTACCAAAATACAAAAGTGCACTCAAAGCGGAATTGAATTGAACTCTACATTTTATCTAAAATCTGAAATAAGCAGTTATTTTAGAATCACCAATACTCATCGAAATTTAATTAGTTTTTTGAAGTACAGTGAAAAACACAGTGAAATTTTGTGTAGATTGTATTGCATTTAATGCTCTACACAAAATTCATAATAATTTATTTAATCGATAGAAATAATATTGGGAATCTTTGAGTTAAAGTGTTACTGGAATGTTAGATTATACGTTTCCCCAGGCGCGTTGAATTCTTTTGTACAAGCAACAAGGAGGAGAGCTTTTTTTAAAACATAGTGATATAAAAATTTTATCCGTTTGTAATCTTTATACATGCTTTATATTGTTCGACTTGTTTTGTTAACTTATACTTTACTACATGGTATGTAAAGAACAAGTTCAGCAAGCTGCGGAAAAAAACTATAAGTGTCTAGACTAGTTTGTCGAAATACAAAACGAACGAAAAGGTGACGAGTTTGGGAAGGATCAGCGGGTGCCTTACTTGGCAGGGGCATGTGTGCGTGCAGTCCTACAAATGGGGATGTGTGCGTGTATCGTAATTGCAACCCATGCTGCCCACCAACGCAACATTACGCAGAACAAAACTCGTTCACACTTGAGTTTGGAAACTGCAATTAAATTTACGACATTGCATGAAAGTTAACAGTTTTCAATGGACACGAGATTTTTATTTGATACTATGTAATGCTTAATTTTATCGAAGCGTTACGAAATATTATTACAAATATAATTCCAAATTCATTACGAGATGCATGTTAAATGGGAAACATGCGAATATCAGACAAAATATTAGAATAAATCTTTAATTACGAAGATCTTTAATTACGAAGAGAAGAGATTGAAGACTAGTTTGAATGTATTCAATGGCTTACTTCGTGTGATTTAATAACACTTAATGATGCTCTCAATGAAGATAGTTTTCGATTAGGTTAAAGACAAACAAGGGCGTATAAATAAAGCAACGGAGCAAGCAATCGGGCGCAGGTACACGTGCGCTGGTGTGGACGCGTCCTTTCACAGAAAGTAAAGTTTGTTGTTCAGTTCTCGTAACTCGGCGCGCTGAGGCCGGTTCCAGTGCCAACTGCCAGTGTTGCTCGGTGCCGCGCGACGAACGGCCGCAATGACGCGCTGACGACTCCAAGCAACCGCGAGCCGTGGTGAAACAGTGACAATATGCGCAACGTTCAATTGGAAAACATGTGGTCGACGTTGTGTTGTATAGTTGTCGCCGCGTTTCTGGCGACAGCGGTAGCTCAGGTGATTATTTGCCCTATGCGAGATAACTGATGATCTCAGCGCTGATACTATTATTTATGCGGCGGCTTCGCCTTGCCATATTTGAATTTTGTCTTGGACTTCCACCGTTGTTTTAAGATACTTTAAAACAAAACAATAATTATATTCGCCATAACATTGCTTTTAAGATACCGTTAACTGCTTTTAGAATTTTTTTTGTCTTGCTAGTTTTTTATAACTTTAATACATCTAACTTAAAAAAAGTAACACAAGCGTAACAACTTCGGAAGCGTTTGAAATAATAACAGCGCTGAGCATGTAATGGTTTGTGTAATTATCGTTCACGTTGGAAACACTTTCATTGAGGAAGATATATATTAATGTAAAATATACATAAGTTGTATACCGAGCAGCGAAAGAATACGAGGTTCACTAGTGCGTAAAGCGTAACCAATAACTATATCCATATAGGCGGTATCGAAATATCGTATTAATAATGTTTGTTCCGTAACTTATTAATACATACTCTCTGTGCAAATATACTACGGTTACGCGCAACCACGTAATACTTGTAACCCAGTTAGCGGCCGACATAGAACACTGACATCACGGCTCTCGACATGGGAAAACGTCTGCCTCGTCTGTTATACGTATCCAAACTAATTCAACGCACTAACCATAAACGAAATAAACAAATAAAAACAGATATTGTTTAGAATTATTTAATTATACCGATAAATGTTTTGCTATTAACAATGTATAACGTTAAATAAATTTCAAACAAAACCTTGAAACGCCATTTGGATATTTAGACGCGTACTTCTACCAGCAATACAAATACAGACTACGTAAACGCTTCGGACTTTACTTGATCAGGTGTGTTGTTGTTACGACGTGTATATAAAATTTTCAAATTTATTTTTAATGGATTAATCAATATCACTATCAATGGATGAATCATATCAATCAAAATCTGCAATATAATGGATATTTTTATGTTACATCCAGGATTAGAACTGATTATAAGACAATAACAGGCGGAATATTTATTCAGTTTTTTCCTGTGTGGGTCGCTTGAATTGCTGCTTGCGTTATATGCACGGGATATATTTTCTTAGGTATACCGTATAAGGCTGAGGTGTAGGACAACCTTTACGAGTGTCTGCAAGACACGGCGCACAAGGCTACTGACGCCCACGCGATTATTAAGTTCAGCTGCATTTTCAATGAATTTACGAGTTCTATCGTCGGAATGTCGTAAACAAGGTATTATACCAAGGTATGTTAAGGAAATTAAAGTACGAGTTAAATTAAATAAAACCCTACCGATTATTTGAACAAAGACACATTAAACAATGCTCAAACAGGTCTAACATCGATAAAGATTGTAAAAGATTTGTTTAAATTGAGATTACTTAAACATCCATATGATGATTTGATTTCAAATGACATTAATAGCGATTAAATAAATATAACGTTAACTTTTTAAAGTTGAAAAGTAATAAAATAACGAACACTATGATTGACGTAATTATGATTCATGTTCTTCATTCGCGCGTTCACTTAATTGAATACTTATTGCATGCGGATGTACCTGCATTTTTATCATTATGTAGGGAAATATTTAAAAAATTCAAATACGTAAACGCTATAAATAAAATATTGCGACGAAAGAATATAGGTGTTTATTATGAATAAAGTGTTAATTAAAATATGTAGAAAAGTGTTAAGTTATATATTATTGAAACACGATAATTTACAAATCAGTTACTGGCAAAAATTTCGTGACATATAAAACCTTATTTATACTCGTATTTTTTGCTTTACTATATAATAAAACTAAGTAATGCTCACGATTTTTACATAGTTATTTTTAGATCACGTATGATGTACGTTTAATGTTCCTTCCTACCCCTACGTCATTTTTAATATCCAAACAGGCTATGTTCATATACAAAAACAAACCTATAAATCAATGACAAATTGTTTTTTCATCACTAATTGGTATAGAAAGGGTATATAACAGCGTCGTTCTTCCACAATAATTTGTCAGTATATTATCAATATTCATGTTTAATTGTTACGACAACAAAGCTAGTCAGATAATAGCTACCGATCGAGCCGAGTTCCGGCCCTCTCGGGCACCCTCGAATTTAAATGTTAAACAGGACCTTGCGCCTAGTAACGCCAACACCATAGTGAACCGTGAGCTTGGCGGCCTCTGGTAAACTGGTAATAATAATAATAGAGTGATAGCCCGAGACTCCGTCGAGAACCCTCGAGCTTACTCATAAACGAGGTTCAAGGTAGGCGCCCTAACCGCCCGGCCACCTCAAGCCCGGTGGATCTGTAAAGGCCTCTTAAAGGCAAACAGTAAACGATACAACTAATATAAAAAATAACCTATAAATCAATGATAAAACCAATGTTATAATCAAGATTATTAATTTTCATCCATACAAACATTTTAATGGCTTCTAAAAAGCTAGATGTCCTAAGTAGAGCAAGACAATATTTCCTGCCGGCCCATAGCTTTCAGCTCTTTAAAGCGCAGACTCATCTGCATATAGAATACTGGTCTCATGCCTGGGTTTAGAGATCCGATTGCTAACTCCTTTTTGACAGCATCCAATGTAGAGATGCACAAGCTTCACCTCGATGGCCTTAGCCCTTTGAGATTTCGCGTCTCTTTGGTCTATTTATTCTCTATCGCGTTTATCACGAGGAGTGAAGTGAACTTAGGGAAATTGCTTGGATCAATTACTTTTTACTGAGTTTAACATGCGTACGACGTGACAATACTATCGATACATCTTGATGACAACTGTGTCACAAAGTTTTCTACCATATGACCAATTTTAGCCAATAGTATTTTCGGACCAATATGACCTTCAAGAACAGAGCCTAATCCTACCTCACAGAGTTCGGCAAAGTATTTATAACCCTTCTGTTGTTTTCTTCTGATCCGTGGAGGCGTCGGTTACCATCAGGTGAAATGTCTGGTTGCGTTTTCTTTCACTTTCATTAAAAAAATGTTCATTGTGATTTTAATGGACTATTTATTGTGTAGTTTAATTATAATCTAATTGAAGAAAAGAAATTAAACCGCAAAAAATATATTAGGTTTTGGTTTAATTTATGCAAACAAAACTGCATTGCTCTATCATTATGGTATACCGAAATTAACTTAAAATGTTACAGCCTTATCTGTTGAAACCGGTTTTCACTACTAAGTTATTTATTTGAATAATATATATGTATATTTTTCTTATTGTTTTTTTTTATTCTTATTGGTTCAGATTGACATTATCGAATATCATGATGCGGTAGTATAATAATTCAGTAGCGAAAATGTGTTAAAAACTGATAAAAAATTTTTACGCAAGTAGCCATACCAACGTTTACGTTTCACGTGTATAGGTACTATCAGAGTTATGTTATGTGGCACAAGCAGACATAACTATCTTTCATGGAAACAACTGTGACTCAAAGCGTATTGACTCATTTCGCATACAAAATAGGGATACAACCAAAGCAATGAATCAGTTTATAAAATGACAGCTCTTCAATAAAACGTAAGCTGTTAAAAATAAATATAGAAATGATAAAACTAATACAGAATATTGAAAATTTTGAAAAGACGAACATACATACATGTATTGAAGGTTATTGATTATCACAATGTACTAAATACAATTTCTTTTGCGGATATTGATAAAAAATAATATACGCCATGTCATGATTGTGCTATAACGTTCTTATGATGTAATGATGTGGCCTGAACCAAAATCTTTTTCATAATTAACATTTATTGATAACATCTTTCAAATCGTAACAGTGCTATTTCAATATCAAAATAATAGACTAATCAATAGCGAAGACTTTGTATAAAAAGGTTCATATTCTTTATATATATTATTCTACTGTACTCTGTCTTCAGATCGAATCGAGAATGGTTTAGATTCACAATTTGGATTACAATTTTTTTTTATTGGTGAATTTAAGTCGTGTATACACACAAACACACACACACACACACACACAAACACACACACACACACACACACACACACACACACACACACACACACACACACACACACACACACACACACACACACACACACACACACACACACACACACACACACACACACACACACACACACACACACACGCTCACACGCTCACACGCGCGCTCACACGCGCACTCACACACACACACACACACACACACGCACACGCTCACACGCGCGCGCTCACACGCGCACTCACACACACACACACACACACACACACACACACACACACACACACACACACACACACACCCACACGCGCGCGCGCGCTCACACGCGCGCTCACACGCGCACTCACACACACACACACACACACACACACACACACACACACACACACACACACACACACACACACACACACACACACACACACACACACACACACACACACACACACACACACACACATATATGAATATTGTTTTCAAAATTAGCATTTATTATTTTTTCTAAGAAATAACATGATTTAATATAACTAAGAAATAATGAACAGTATTATTAGAATGACAAATAAAGCGATATATAATATCTGGGACCAGTAAAACTTCAATATGTAGTTAAAATATATTAGATAACTGTTCATGTGTATTGTATGTATGTGCGTTCGCGTGTATAATGTTTCTTGTGGGAAAAAATGTTGCCGCAATAATCAGTCATGGCTTCAATAAGCGCTTCTGCATAAATTGGAATGATTGTTTTGTTCGATTACATTCAATAACCATTCTATACTGGTAGTTAAAATGATTTGCACGCCTTCTTTGGAGTTAACTGAAAACCACGCCAATTGAAATGATCGAGCAATGTTTTGCACGTATCAAATTCTTAATTTAAATTGCACTGGGAACAAAACATTAATTTGGTTTGTTTCCGATTAAATAAATTATTTAAAATCATTCTTACAATTTAAAGATCTTTTGCTCTGAATTTGTTCCTTAAAAA